CTACCATCAGTGAGGACGAACGGCTAAAGACTGCGAAAGAAAAGGTTGAAGCTAGAATCAAGAGTCTCGCTGTGAGCATTGAAGCGCAATACAAGCGAACGGACATCCTTCGGAAAGCACTCTCGGAGGTGAGATGTCCCCAATGCAAAGATGAACCTCCAAACAAGGACGTAGAGGACCCGGCGAATCAACACCCTCAGTGCGACCTGGTTCATCTTGTATCTCACAGTCACGAGGAATGGAAGAATTCGGACAGTTACAAGAAGGGTATCGAGATCATCCAAGACTGGAAACGATACAAAACATCATCGGCACAGAGTAGCGATGTTGAGGACGAGCATGTCACAAATAGTCCGAGTTTATTAAGCAATGGCCAGCTCAGATTGGCACCTGAGAGGGAAGAGGCTCGCAAGATCATCCGGGACGGTCATACCGATGTCGATTATGCCTTTGAAGAAGATGAAGACACACCCTCGTACGAGCTGGAACGAGATATGAACGGGTACCTCATCCAGTGGAAGATTTTGAAACCTGGAGAGTCACTCAAAAAGCTCGACTCGCACACGCCAATCAACATCTCCCCAACGTCGGTCAATTTCACCCTTCCCTCACAGCTCCCATCTCTTCCCCCTTCTCCTCGGCGAGCTCCTCGACCTCGGGCAGCTAGAGCGCCGAGTGAAGCTACAGTTCAATTCGAAGCTACAGACCACAAGCCAAAGGAACGTCCGACCGGGCCCAGTCGCTTGCGCTCTGGGACACTGCAATCCGCCTCCTATCTCGAGCCTTACACAGAACAGGAGAGATATCTGGAGCCGTTGACCGAGAACCTCACCGATTACCGTTTCAAAGGGAATTTTCCTGATCAGAGACTGACGTTGCAAAACCTTCTCGACCCAGCACCGGAAAGGCCAGAGCCTCAGGACGTAATCCTATCTCGAGATCGACCAAACAAGGATGGAAGAGTGCGGTACTTCCATATACCGCATAACAACATGCAGGTGAGAGAGATCATCGCGTTCAAACGAAAGCTTCATTCTAATGTGATTTGATAGTGGCTTGAGGTATTTCGCGATCCAAGCTCCCCATTTAGCTCACTGGGCTCATCCCGTTGCAGGAAGCCATCGCACGTTACTTCAACGAGGAGTGTCCACTGTCCGACGGAATTTACCGAAACCCGTTGAAAACGCACAGCCGTATGATCTTACGTCCTGAATATTGGAGAGGTCAACAGCATGGTGGCAGGCGCACATTGGTACATGCTAGACATATGCGTGCTATTTGCGAGCGTATCTCGTCGAGTAAGCCACTTAATTTCGCAATCTAAGATTGTCTCATCTCGTTAAAAAGGGTTTAGACTTATACTGATGGTTTGAAATAGGGATCTGGGAGGTGGAAGACAACCCTGATAACCTTGTGCTATTTGTGAGTTGCGTGCTTGTGAAGTCGAGAAATGTTCAATGTAGCATCTGTTTTCTGAAGTTCCGAACTAATCGACGTCACATTCTGATAGATGCCCTACTTACACTGGGAGGAAGATCGTAAGCGTGACAAGATGGCTAAAATAATTGACAAGGAGTCAGACAGAAATCGAGAAGAACATGAGACGCAGCGCAATAAAGCCCGGGAACAGAGAGTAAGGGAACGTACTTACAAGCCAACCACTACCAACGACAAGCAAGTACGAAACTTGCTCGAGCCCGATCTTTGCCGTATTAGGCACCACGATAAAGTTTCTCCAATACATAAGAGAAGCATCCTCAAAGCTTGGGAGAAGAATGCACGCGGAAAACCTAACGTCAAGCACGAGATGGTCGACGTTGCTAGTGGATTAGCAACGGGCGGGCTTGTTGAACATGAATACGGCAGTGATGGCCACAACCTATGGTCTGTTCCCAAGCTGAAGTGCTCCGACCATGGGAGGTTGCAGATTGAGAACAAGCTAGGTCAATTTCTTTTGGACTCCGCTAGACTGTATGAGGCAATGTCCATGTATAGAGATCAATGCCTGGTTGAGAAGTACCTTCACCACGATCCACCTCTACATCCTCGGCGCACCCTCGACCAGTCTTACTACTGGACTCTGAAGACAACAAAAGCAAGAGACAGAGACCAAGTTGTTTATCGCGGTACAACCATGGATGAGAGGAACATCCATAGATTTCGAGAACGCCGTGAAGATCCTGCACAGTCTTGTAAAGACAAGAAACCGTTTTGGCGCTCCGATGCTCCCTCAACCGCCGAGCAGAGCACTAACTGTGATGTTTCGGACTCATCTGAAAGCAACTTTGGCCGTTACAAATGGGATGGTCACTGGACGAAGACCGACGAGGACGGCTGCGATCACTGCAGGGACGAGATACGTAAGGTGTCCAGGATCGTCATGGTCGACCAGCTGTGGATGTGGATCTTGGACAAGCGGACGATCATCACCAGTTTCCCGAAAAGATATGGCGCAAACAAGTCAGATCCCTCGGGGGTACACAAGTCGATACGCACCCGTATCAAGCACGCTCGCAAGAACCAGATTCGATCTGTCTTCGATGTGGCACTCATCATTCTCGATGAGTGCTCGAACACGTTCTTCGACAGAACAAAAACACCAGTGAGTACTGCAATGACCTCTGGTACTTCTTGCAGAGTCCGCTAAAAATTGCTTAGGATCGACACCCGCAGGTTATGGACATATTCGCAGAGTCCATCGGCACTCTGGTAGGCTTACTTACTGGCTGCAACCACGTCAACTAGAACTAACTAGTACATAGCAAAACAAACAAACAGTCTCTTTCCAGCATTTATGGCACTGGACTGAGCAAGCCTCCAAGGTTTACCACTCCAAGTCAGCCTTTGAGGACACATCCCATCTCCACGTTCCGCTTCTCAACATCAACCCTGAGGGCAAGCTGCAGCGAGAAATAAAAGACATTATCGATGAACTAGGCATCATGATACATGTCAATGGGAAACAAAGGGAAGTCATCAAGCGGTTCGTAAAGCACGTTGAAAATATCTACGACCCGAGTGGTAAATGGCGGGACGAGACACTCAGCCCGGATGGCAATCGGGACTACTTTCGTTCCCGGTCAATGTCGCGAAGCGGCGAAGACATCACGTCTACGGAAGAGGCTAGGAAACAAGAGGAACGCGAGAAGGATGAGTTTACTTGGTTCCGCAAACAAGCATACGATCTCATATCAGATGTGGACGACCGGATGAACGAGCTCGAAAGCCTGCGCAAAAGCGCTGAGACTACCTCGCAAGGCGTGGGTTCTTCTTTCAATATCTAGGTTTACACACACGCTAACCGAGAATATCCAGATCAAAGACCTTCTTGACCTGAAACAGCAGCAGGCTAGCATTCTACAGGCATGGCAGTCAGTCAGGCAAGCAGACGAAAGCGTTCGCCAAGGAAGATCCGTTATGATCTTTACGATTGTTACCATCATATTTGTACGTTAAGCTTCTTGCTTTCGTTCATTGCCCTCTCATTTCTCCGTTTCCCCTTTCTGCATTGGGATTTTGGAAGCTAACATTGATGCGAAGCTACCGCTATCGTTCATGTCGAGTGTATTCGGCATGAACAATAGAGACATTGGCGACACCAACATGTCTTTTGGAGACCAGGCGAGTTGGATGTGTAAGCAATCGAAATCCCAGCCAATGCTGTCAACTTCTCGCAGTGCACTGACAAACATCTCTAGTCCCAATATCCGCAAGCGTTATTTTTATCTCCATTGTCTTCGCCTTTTGGACTTACCCGCGCACAATTTTCTGGTCTGCATACAAGCTGTCAGAAACATGGATTCTTGTCACCTTCGGCTTCTATGCACTCTATCTCAAGATTGGAGAGTGGAAGAAAGACTGGACAACGAGCGATAAGATGCTGAAAAGACTTGAAAAGAAGGTGGAGGGCATGAGGAGCCAAGTCAAAGATCAACGTCGCGCCGAACGCGAGAGGGCAGATGCCGAAGTATTGAAAAGAGCGGAGGAGACGGACGGCGGCCCAACAAAGTCTGAGTATTGCTTGCCGGAAAAGGCAGGTGATATTTGAGCCTTCTCTGTATTGCTATAGAAAGCCTAGAATCACTTAATTTCCAATAATATTCACTTACTTTTCGTGACGTTTACCGAGCGAGGTATCCGGGGGCTCCAGAGATGACTTGCGATTACACGGCCTCGACATGCTATAATGCATTTCCGTGTCAAGTCGCATGTGACGAAGCATTAGCAATAGTGTCACATTTTATAAGCCAATTTCATCTTGGGGACCGGGCTCTTGCGTACGAAAGCAAACTTGAAAACACCACGCATTTGAACAGCACGATATGTTGCGACGAAATCTGCAATGACGATCGATAATTTGCTGCTCTTCCCAAATTTGTATCACACAGAAATTTGAGGTCTTCGATGGCGCCTCGATTTTGGCCCCGAGGAGTGAAAGTGCCACGCTTCTGAGAACCCCCGTAAGATGCATGCCATACCAGGGCAATATGCCTCCCCGACGCCCTCACTCCCTGAATCACGGTCACCTCGACGTATCACGGCATTCATCACTATATACACACCGATAGACTGGGACATGTGGTTTTGGCAGAAGGACCGTTGGTGCGTTAAGCTCGCCAGAGGAGACAGTAGAGATGGAGCCGTTGATGGAAGCGGCAATGGCGGTGGTGGTCGTTCCATCAATGGTATGAGAACATTTGTGGCATTAAAGAAGCTTTCAAAGGCGTCCGCGCCTCGAGGTCGAAACGTACGACCACTCAAAAAAAAAGTGCGGCAGCAGCTATTGGTTCAGGAAAGTAGAATTTCTCTGATAGGGTCGCTTCAAACTACCTGAGGGGCAGATGTATTGGCCAACGCCGCAAGCTGCATAAGAACACAGGCTCGGTACTGCAGCCTGATTGTTCAACCCCCTCAATATTTGCCAAGTTCACCCAGACATCTCCATTCCCGGAACCCCTCCTTAGTCCTGGTGCAGGAACCCTCAACGGGGCGACTTAATCATGGAGGCTGCTGGCCTAGCTTCAAGTATCCTGACGTTCATCGACATTTGTTACAAGGTAGCCAAAAGAACTTACGAAATTTACGAATCCGCGACGGGTGCCACAGCCGAAAACATACACGTAGGCAATGTCATCATCGACCTCGAAAAAGCTGCAGCCGAGTTGAGTCCAGTCTCCAGAGGACATGATGCGGAGTTGGCAAAGTTGTCAGAGCAGTGCCGAACCTTGTCAGACGATCTCTTAAAGCTTCTTGCAGGGCTAGAGAGGCGCGAGAAAAGGTTGTTCCAGAGTTTCAAGGCCGCGATTGCCAGTGCGCGCAAACAGAAAGAGGTCGCTTCGATTGAGAAAAGACTGGATCAGTACCGTCAACAGATTATTCTTCACTTGACACTCAATATTTAGTGAGTCAGCTCAGGAACCCAGCTAGAAAGATGCATGACTGACCATTTTGCAGCCGAGACCAATCGCCCATCAAGGCTCAACTCGAGCGAATACGAGACGATAGCAGTCGACTTGAAAACGAGCACGCTGCAAAGTTGGATGCACTACACAATCAACTCTCCGAACTACTAGAGCGTATGGAAACTACTAGCTCGAGACCGTTTTGGGATCAGCAAGCTTCAAACGATCGTGACTTCATAAGGACACTCTCGCCTCGTGTCAACGAACTTGACCAAGACGAATTTTTCGGAAAAGCCTCCCACAAGACACATACAGCCAACGAACCATCTATACACAACATTCAGTACCATGCGATTGTGGGCAATGATCTCAGAGATCTCGCAAGACTTCTCCATGACTTCAAATCGTGTGCCAGCACTCTCGAGGCAGAAAATAAGACACTTGACAGTTTGTACTTCGACGCGATATTTCAAAGAGAGAACAGCGTCTCCGATGCTGTATCAAACACTTTTGCTTGGATAGTCGATGGTTTCCCGCCATCCACCACTTCAGAATCAATCGACACAAACGGCTCAAATTCTCCGAGAGAGTCTCGACGATCTTCCTTTTCCTCCTCGCCCAAATCAGAAGAGGAAGAGCTAGTAGATCACCATCGCATAGCTTTGGAGAAGCAGCTACTTGAAGAGACTCAAAATCGGGAGGCTATGTCTCAGAGCCTTCATTCCTTCTTGGCAGATGAAGGAGAGGTTTTCTTCGTCTGCGGGAAAGCGGGCAGTGGAAAGTCAACGCTCATGAAATTCCTTAGCCATCACTCCAGCGTAAGAGAAACGCTGGTGGATTGCGCCAGCAAACGAAAGCTTGTGATCGTCAACACATTCTTCTGGAGCTCTGGCGATCCTCTTCAGACGTCTCTTGAGGGATTCTACCGCGCTGTTCTCTTTCATACTTTAAGGCAGTGCCCTGAACTACTTGAAACGGTCATTCCAACTCTTACTGGGATAGGCTTCTCCCCTCTTTCCGCAGCCATGTCACTCTCAGAGTTAGAGGCGGCCTTCAGTCGTTTGCAGTCATTAGAGAACGCCGCAAGCTATCTCTTCTGTTACTTCATTGATGGGCTAGATGAATATGAGGGAGATCCTCTTGATCAAAAACATCTTGCAGAGATGCTAAGAAAATGGTCACGGAAAGATAATGTCAAGATAATATGCTCAGCCCGGCCATCGACCGTTACCCTCGACATCTTTGGCGCCAGCAAGACATTCTTTGAGCTTCATAAGTTGACCAAAGCCGACATACACGCCTTTGCCGAGGATCAAATTGAAAAGTATCTGAGCGAGCCTACTTTCGAAAAAGTTCAAGCGGTATGTCTGGGTATGATTCACAAAATTGTGGAACGCGCCGACGGTGTGTTTCTCTGGGCAAGCCTCGTCGTCAGAGCTTTGTTGAATGCGGCTCTAGAACACGAAGACGAGTTTTCTATCCAAAAGAGGCTGGAAGAGTGTCCCAAAAGTCTCAATCAACTTTTTCATCAGATGCTTGACAGCATTGATCCATCTCCATCTGTGAGATTTCGGTCGACGATTCTCTTGCAGCTGTTAGCAAGCGAGCCCAGAATCCGTCTCAACGCCCTCGCGCTCTCGTGGCTGGACGAATCTCGTACTTTGCGATCGCTAATGGGTCTACCCAGGCGCTCAAATCATGACAAGTACACCGAGACTCGGATTGAAACAGAGCACAGGAAGGCACGAAGCCAGTTGCACATCTTGACAAGGGGCTTGGTTGAGATGGAGGCAAGTAAACATATAGCATACCTCACAAGTACCAAACACGGCTGTGGGTCCTACTACCAAACCTACTTTTGCTTTTTCCATCGGACCGTCAGAGACTTTCTTGCGAAAGAATGGTTGCCAAGCCTAGTCCAACGGCCGCTCATAACAGCCGAGCAAGAGGCAGCAGTAAAGGCCGAGCTTCTGCTAGCAGAGATTAGACATTGTCCTGAACCGCATCTCCATTTGTCGGAACATGCTTATCCTGGTTGTTACTTCAAGATGTTAGAATTTTTTGACTCTTTTCGATTCTCTCCAATTCAGCGTCTAGACTTTTTTACTGTACTGGTTCAGGAATTGGCTGTTGTTGTCTGCGGTAATCAACAACACTCCCCACCTTTGTTGTCACAAAACATTCTGATTCCCAAGTCTAAGCAACAAGAGGAAATGGGTCCAACGGTATGGGAACCCTTTTCGTTTCTGCACTTCGCTGCGACTTATGGCATGGCTCAGTACGTCAAGACGACTGTGGCGAGTATGGACAATCCGACTATTATTGATACATCTAATGTCAACCTTCTGATGACGGCCGCGTACTCGTCTGTTCCAGCCTTGGTAGATTTCTTGCTTCAAGAGGGCTGGCATCCGAATGAGCTTGTCACGGCTTGTGGTCTAAAATCGTCTCTGAAGGGCGAAAGATGCTTTGTATCTGTTTGGGAGGCCTTCTTGTACCGTGTCGCAAGTTTTCTGAGCGTCTTTTGCGCTGACAAGTCTCGAACTCCTGTTTGGAAAGTCAGGAACAGAGAGAGAGTGGAGCACTTGAACGATATGTTTTCAATAGTCGAAAGCTTTCTTCAGTCTGGGGCAGATGCCGAAGTGGAGATTCTTGTTTGCAATGGCACCACTTATTCGGAACAAGATGAAGAAGCCGAGACACTGACTAGGCCAGCTCATAGGGTGTCTTTTTTCCAGATTCTTCAGTTGGCTCAACCGAAAAATGCGGTGGCACTCCAAACCCTTTTAGTGAAGCCGAAGCGGAATGTTCTCGTCAGAATATTGGGTCGTACGACAATGCGGAACCCTAAAAGTCGAATCGAACTCGCAAAATACCCTATGGCTACTATGGAATATTTGATGAAAGAGAAGTGGGAAGCAAAAGGGCTTGTTTCTCTAGCGGCGAATCGTGTTTACCTCGAATTTGCGCGTACTGCTGGTTTCATAGCTAATTTCTATTGAATACATCTTCTTTTCGAGAGACTATATATAAGTAGGAATTAAGGATGTTTTCCCCATGAAATCGGGACTGCTAGTGCAGGCAGCACTTGCGCTCGTCAATCATATTCCTGCGACAAATTTGAATTCATCGTTCTCCAAGGAGATTCATGGTCTTGTATTAGTTTGCTATATGTAGTGTAAACAGACATTTGGAAGAAAGACTATCTAGAGCCATTCCTGCTTTATTTCGATTTCATCCACGCAATGCCTGTGCGCTGAACTAGAAGACTTGGCCCTTGGTTTGTTGCACCTTCGCAACATTGACATTCTTCCACAAAAACACACAAGCCAGCGCCAAAGGCATGAAAGCCGCACCGCAAATAACCATATGCCGCTGAACATCTCCATAAGCATGCACAATACCAGCGCGAGCGGGAGTTCCCCAAGCATACGAAAGCTGAACCTTGATGTCCCCGTAAATCGTAGCAGCATCAGCCTTATTGTCCTCGGGAAGGTACTTGATCAAGAAGTTGAGGAACTCATTCGTCCAGATGGCACCCGAGATGGCGCGGCCGATGGACCGACCGACCGAGGTGGCCAGGCCGATGAGGGCCAGCATCACGCTGACTTCGTTGTGTTTGACCACGGACATGACGGCGAGCTGCTCGCAGATGATGATTGTGCCGGCGGATACGGCCTTGAGGATCTGGCACATGATGATGTAGCCGATGTAGGTGTCGGGGGTGCGGAAGTGGATGAGGAGGCCGGTGGAGAGGCAGGCGACGGGGATGGCGGCGCAGGCGATCCACTTGTAGTGGTTGGTCTGACGGATGAGACTAGGAATGTGGGTTAGCATTGGAGCTCATCGGGAGAAGGTGTGGCATGGCTTACAGTCCTACGATGGGTCCCCAAGTGCAGGAAGCAATCGTGTAGATGTTGCCGATGAAACCAGCCTGGCTAATGCTCTGGCGGTGCACGACCTGGAGGTACGATGAGAAGAAAGAATCCCATGAGCTAGTTAAGAACGTCAACGATCGTCTCCGTGGACTGATTTGAGAAGATGTTGGGTTAATTACCTGAAACTCAACCCGATGACACCAGCCACGGCGGCCGATCCTAGGATAGTCCGGTCTTTGAGGTTGACCCATGGAACAAGAGGTGTAGTTGCGTACTTCTTCTCCCAGAAACCAAAGGCAACGAGACAGAAGATTCCGAGGATAATCATGGCAATGATGTGGCCGGCAGCCCACTTCTTGGCTGTGTATGAGACCAAGCTGAACGGCAGCAGGAATAGGGAGAAGCCGAACATGATGAGGAACATGCCGACGACTGAATGTTGTTAATGTACATGCTAATGTGCCGGCGTCCATGGAGTTGCCTCGAACTTACCATCAAATTCTGTGCAGTAGAAGAAGAATGACTCCTTCAGAGACCGGCCGCTCTGCTTCAACTCCGGTCCTTGGCCTAGCTTGTACGCCTTCCTGAGGTTCCACCACAACATAATCGTAATCATGGAACCAAAGGCGGGGAAGATGATAGCAAAAGAGCCAAACGCCCATCGGAAGCTGCTATGGTCGTTGAACAGCTGCGCAACAATAGGTCCGGCGAATGCATTGGCAATGTACGCGGTCGAGTTGAGCGTGTAGATAATCATTCGGTTCCGGATAGAGGTGGTGTCGGAGATGAGGACAGTGTGGATGTAGCCAATACCACCACTTCCAACAGCCCAAAAGACCTAGTTCTATAGTGTAAGTAACAACTTGGGTAGACAAGAAATCAGAGAACGAACCTGTGCAGCGGCGTAGGTCTCCACGTTGCGGCAGACAGCCATCAAGATCAGGCCGAAGCAGCAGAGGAGATGGGCCAACATGTAGCCTTCCATGCGACCAAAGATGTTGAGAATCTTGGCGAGGGGCAACTGCGAGACACCGCTAGCCAGGCCTGAGACGATACCGGTGGTGGCGGTAAGGCCGTGACGGCGGAACGATGAAGTAACGTAGGGTCCGAGGTTGCTGTTCATCTGCTGTTGCATTGAATGGGTGTAAGACGTCACCCAGATCCTAGGAAGAGCATCTGCGTCAGTACGGGGATCATTCAAGTCCTGCTGTCTTGGATCACACTTACAAGACGTAGGTAAAGATGAGGGCTCTCCAGGTCCAAGCCGTGGTGATAGCCTGGATCTTCTTGACACCATTCTGGGCCTCCTCCTTCTCACTCTCGACATCATTGTCAGAGGTGATCTCCGTCGTGGTCTTGCCTGGTGTCTTTTCGTCGAGGCTCTGAGTCTGGCTCTCGGCTGCGGCCTGCTGGACGAAAGGGGAGCTCATGATGGGCAACTCTTGTCACGGGACGCCTGATCTGGGTTGAGATGCGGGTATGTCTTGAGACGGAAGAAACAAAGTCTCAACAGTGGAAATGTCAAGAAGGGCCCCCGGGTTATGTAGTCGACTTATCATGCAGAACAAAGTACAAAGTACAAAGTAGGAAACGATTTTCCATTGACAAGAAGCTTAACTCGAAAGGACGAGCAGAAATGTTACGTAAATCCACTCTACCAAACCACGGTTACCACATGCAGCGGAACTAGCAGGCCGAACGAGACCAACTTTTCAAGGGTCCTTTTCCGTTCAACACGACTGTCAGGCACGACAAAATTCCGGCATCGGACGAGATCGTACGGCACAGCGAGTGCAAAAACTTCCCATTGACCGTGGCCGGACGTATTGGTGTCCCTCTCGAAGAGCGTGTCCAGCCCCCGAGTTTGCACGAACTCGATCCACACGTCACGACTTGGCACTGGGCAGCATCTTTTTGTTGGCTGATGGTTGGCTAACCGGGCGAATATCTCGCCGCGAATGGGTGTCCTAAAGCGGTAGCTACGAGCCTGCTTCTCTAGATGTGGTTCCGCCAAGTGGGACACAAGACGTCGTATTAAAGACTTTTTGCGCTGCCATCTGCACTAGAAGCGACATCGCGTAGCCTAGACTCTTAGAGCGGTTCCCACGCTGGCCAACGAGCGGGCGGGATGTTGGGTCCTCTGAAGGTCGTATCGCGCCGGCTTGGCGCGCGTGCAGTTGGACGGTTGGCAACGGATCAGATAAAAAAAACTTTGATGCTTGGCCCGCATGCAAGAGCGGATCTGATAAGATGAAAACGGGTCACCATCGGGGGCATCCCGGGATCTGGGTGGCCCCGAGTTCTAACCGAGGGCATCCTTGGGATCCATTCTTGAAAGGCTCATGGGGCGACAATGTGACATTTCCTGCAACGTTGTTCTGCGGTTGGCTTCATCATCTATTGGTCATGGAAGTAAGCTTATACCTGGGTGGGTTCACGTGAAATGTTCGAAAGTGCTGAGAAGTTGACTGAGTAGGTCATGCAGCCTGGCACTACCTTGGGTCTCGTCGTGATGCCACAAAATATTTTGCAGTGCGTTTTGCCATGGCTTAGAGGAAGAAACATCTCTTTCAGGCTGATCCTTTCCGATGTACTCATTTGATGCGCTGCTTTCATTGCGCTAGATAGGTCTTTGTGGATATTCCATAGCTCAAGATCCAAGCACTTAGGACCCCTCGATGTTAGGATGGGGCAGAACAGCATCGACTCCACTTACTCCGTAGACTGATAGGCAGCGATAGCGTAAGGCAAGGTTATGGGCAGACCGTTCCATATGCTGCTTCGTCTTTTCGGAATTGTATTCCAAGCGTTCCCAAACTCGGCC